GAGAACCTGTTGGTCTACCGAGAAGATGTGACTGCCACCATCTACAAGCCCTGCCCTCCAGCTGGAAAGTAGTGAAATCCACGCCGTGGGACTCTAATATCCTCATGTAGTGCAGCCCTGCACCAATCAATGAAGTCCTAGGGATCCTCATGTCACTCACCCCCGAAGACAAGAGGGTGTAGCCTAGTCCATATGTCCAATAGCTTTTGTGGCTTGCCAGACGCAACTATTCTGAGCTTTGGTATGGTTGTTGCCACTAGCTGGGCCCCGCCCATAGTTAGTATGCCCAGGGTCTGATATACAACACCTGCATACCCAGGATCCTGAGTAATAGGGGTCTGTGCTCCCCCGCCCGCTTGAGATGTGGTTGGGTCTGCTAGAAATAAATCAACCTGGGTCATAGTATCCATGAACCGTAGCATACAACCCATAACCTCTTGAAATCCCAGTGCTGACATGAAATCTACTAGGGTTGGCTCTACCATAGGCACTTCGCCCTGCTCTTCAATAATGGGATCCTCTACTGGATCCGCTAGTGGTATAGTTGGGGCCACTCTGGGACGTCCACGTCCCTTACTTCGGGTCGGTGACCTCCCACAACCTCTGCCTTGGCCTCTAACAACAGGGGGAGCAGCTCTTTCCGGGTCTGGAATATCTGTCATTCGCGTTTTCACCATCTATGAGAGAATAAGAGAAAAACACTTAGTATAACATCAACTGCATGATAGGATATGAAGAAAGAGTAGTTTCCTAACACCCTATAGCCTCTCGAAGATAAGTACGGACGTCTCTACACCTATCCGCAAGACTCAATTAGGCTTGTTCATGCCTTGTGAGACCTACGCGAACCTAGTGATCTGATACCATGTTTCACGACCCAATGTGATGGCGCCCAACGTTACTGCTAGGCAAGCCAACAGTAAACTATCTCTGTGATCTTTTCTTTTAGAAATTTGAAATAGTTGATGTTTAATTATTCTGAAATCAAGAAGTGAAAAAGTTAGTAAATAGAGAAAGCAAACAATTTCAAAAGCAATGGGGTAAAATAATTACTCAAGAACCAACAAGTGTCTACTAGCATAAATCTCCAAGACCTGGTGTCACAAGTGTATGAGCTACTAGTAGAATATACAAAAGAATACTATATTACTGTCTGAAATGAAATAGACATAAAATAAAGCAAAAGAAAGACTTTAGCTGCTACAAAATGGGCTTGGAAGGCAGCTCGCCGGTAAGTCTCATAGTAATTAGGGATGCGGTCCGCATTGATACCCAGATGCAACTGCCTCAGATCCTGCACGATTAGTGCAGAAGTGTAGCGTGAGTACATAAACAACATGTACCCAGTAGGTATCTAGTCTAACCTCGAAGAAGTAGTGACGCAGGGTCGACTTCGACATTTACCATGGGCTAACAATAAAATACGAAAATTATAACTAAGCATGGACCATATATATACAACTGAAAACACAATAACAAGAATAAATGAATTATTCCTTCACAAATAGTAAATCCCAAATTAATCTTCATCATTTAAAAAATTAATCTCTCAAGCCAATGAAGTAATATCAATTAATATTGGGCTCCAATAATTTATTACGCACAAAGAAGCCGAGGTCGTACGGCCCTATCCAACATACAAAAAAATAAATTGTGCATTGTCGAGGGTCGAACGGCTCGAACCATAGATGCATCTATTCTATTAACGACGCATTCAGCCTGCTCCACAAGAAGAGTAAAAAATACTTTATAAAAACCGATTCAAAGATTATTAAGAGGCTAATATTTAAGTAAACATCAATTCTCATTAATAGTCAAGTAATCCTTCCAAAACACAAGTAAATGAAATTCGATCTTTTAATATTTCCTTTATCAACTTTTGATATGACTTAAGCATTTAAATTAGCAAGTATGGTGCAAATATCGCGGGTCCTAAACTACCCAAACATAAGCATAATTAGTAGCTACGTACAAGTTCTCGTCACCTTGTTCGCACGTATCCCCCACAAATAGTAGCACATATTAAATCAATTCGCCTATGAGGTCAACTCCCTCTTACAAGGTTAGAAAAGAGACTTACCTCATCTCAAGCTTAATTTTCGGTCCAAAATCGTGCTTTAAACACTCAATTCGGTGCCAAATGACTCGAGACTAGTCAAATGTTATATAAAATAGTCAATACATGTTTAAAAGTTCATATCTCAACTATTAAAGGGATTACCCAAACCCAATTGAAGGCTTCCTAAAATTCATCCTTGGGACCACGTGCCCCGATTCCGAAATTTTTTGAAGAAAGTTGTTACCCATAACTTCATAAAGTCAAATATATAATTTTCACTAAAATCCAAAACCATTTTCGTGATCAAATCCTATTTTTATCCAAAATCTAGATTTTCCCTCTAAACCCATGATTTCACAAATTTTACATGTTAATCTACCTATAATCTATGTATTTAACTTCCATTGTGTAGAAATTACCTACCTCAAAGTGCTAGGTGAGAGATGAATGAAAATGAGCCAAATGGCCTAAGTCTCGCATTTAATAAAGTTGTTGCACAAGTTGCAGATGTCGCATTTGCGACACCTGGTTCGCAAATGCGAAGCTGAGCCCCCCATTGTTAAGGTCGCAAATGCGACCAAAACATCTCAAATGTGAAGGCAAGTTGGTCGCAAAAGCAACTTGAAATCTTGCAAATGCGAGCCCTGCCTTGACCAGGCTTCTTCATAATAGTGAAGCCTTTCTCGCAAATGTGAGGTTCACAAATGCGAGGTTCACAAATACAAACTAATTTTTGCATTTGCGATACCTGAAACACCAGCAAATGAAAAACCAGAAAACTGAAGTCTTCTCATCCATCCGAATGCGTCTGAAACTCACCCGAGCCCTCGGGGCTCCTCACTATACATCCACACAAGTCTAAAAAGAACATAAGAACTCATTCGTATGATTGAAACACCAAAATAACATCTAAAATCACGAATCTAACGCCAATATGCATGGATTAACTCATGAAACTCAAAAACTTCTAAAAATACTTCCGCGTGTCCGATTCCTATCAAATCAACTCGGAATGATATTAAATTTTGCGTGCAAGTAATGAATGATATTACAGAACTATTCCCAGTCTCGAAATCCCAATTCAGCCTTGATAACACCAAAGCCTACTCCAAACCAAATTTAAAGTACTTTAAAACCATCAAAGAGCCAACTTTCACTATTTGGCGTCGAAATGCGGGCGGGTCATCCAAAACCCGATCCGAACATACACCCAAGTACAAAATTATCATACGAACCTATTGAACCCGTCAAATCCCGATTCCGAGGTCGTTTACTCAAAGCGTTGATCGAAGTCAAACTTAGTCTTTTTGGCCAACCTTAAGGAATCAAGTGTTTTGATTTCAACCCGAACCTTTCCAAATCCTAAACTAACCATCCCTACAAGTCATGACACACTAAAAGCACAAACGATGAGTTTTATTTAGGGGAACGGGGTTCTAAAAAGAAAAATAACCTTATTCTCCAGGCGGAAGTCTTATTTAGGGTCGTTACAAAAGCTAAAGATTAACAACTTAAGGAAACTAAAAACTGACTCTATTATTCAGGTGGGACTCCTGAACTCAGGGAAACTAAAGATCAATGATTGAAAAATTAAAAAAAAACTAAAATTGACCCTATTCTACAGGCAGGATCCCTGAGCAGAAGGAAAGCTAAAGATTAACAACTTAAGGAAACTGAACTAACAACTTAGAGAAAACTAAGGTGCAACCTTATTTTCTAGGCGGGACTCCTAAACTTAAGAAAAGCCAAAAATTCCTCTCAACTAGGGATATACCTAAGAAGTATGGTTCTTCTCAACTAGGGAAAATTCCTCGGAGGTATCATATTCTCAATAGCCTTTGTGTTAGCAGAACTAGGGCATTATACCTGAAAATTCAGGCTTCCAAGTTTTAATATGAACATAGCCTTCATCCTTGTTTCAAACAAAGAAAACTTGTGAGTTTAAAGCACGGTGGTTAGTTTGTGGTCTTGACTTCGAGGGTGATTTCTCTTGCCCTTGTCATGATCAACTTTGATTTCATCTTGGAAGACAGTGCTTGTTATCGGCCAACTACTTTTTCGGACAATCCTTATAACAAGAAATATTCCTGATTTGTTCAAGTCCAATACCTTATACATGATACATTGCACTCGTATTCTAACAATCACCGAATCTTTGCATTTTACATGAATCCCAAAGAACATCTATTGTCATCAATTCAGTGCACATACTATTCTCCCATGTCTTATGCCACTTTGATATGCTTGCCAGACTCTGCTTTGTGTAATTAAAAAGCTGATAGAAGATTTTGAAGTCATTTCTCACTTGTTGTGACAAAAATAGACTCAAAGGAAACAAGAGGAACAAAGTAAGGAGAAGAACGAAAAGAGATGGTATTTAACAAGAAAATATTTTTAGCCAGAAAAAAGAACAAAGTAGAAACTAATCTAATTTGAAGGCCAATTCCACTGATCATGATATGCATTTTGGACTAAGTAGCCTGATCTGTCAAGCAAGTCTAATCTTCAACTCTTGTCACTACAAGAAAACTAGCCTTTAGAGACGAGAAAAATGGTACCAAAAAGTCCAATTCTAGTCTCAAAAGATCAGTAGGGACCAGTAAAATCTGGTCGCCACCGGTCGCTATAGGCTCCGTCACTAAAAGGCAATAAGGACGACTGTAGTGACTGGTTGTTAATGATTTTTACCAACTAGTAATATTCTTGTCTCTAAAACACGTTTAGGGACCATATTTCTGGCCCTTAGACAAAGACTCATCTGGCACCTAAATATATTTAGTGACCAAAAATTATGGTCCTTAAAGATTTTTAAGGACTAAAGTCTATTTGATAATTCTCTAATATCCAATTTATTACCAGAATATTATACAATTTGAAAAAAAAATAATTAGCTTAATACAGACAAAATTATCAGTAACATCAAGCTTTTTATAAACGCATATTAAGATTAATCATACAGACCTGTAGATTATATTAACATGTCAAATACAAGGAGGGGACATATACCTTACCTCTTACATATTTCTGAATTTAGACTTTACATGGTATAACCATCTAAATATTCTCGCTATACCAGTCTGTCTAATACACTCCAAAGTGAGTAATTCAACTAATATAAGTTGAAAAAATTAGTTTGAAGGCAAAAATTAGATCAACCGACAACTAACTGTAAATGAATAACTCAGTTAGGTAGCAATAAGGAAAACGAATTGGACAAATTGTGTATTAGCTTTTGTCTGCAGGAAAATTGTCTAGTATAAGAGGCCGGTTCTGTTGTTGTGGTTTGATCCCCTTCAGCCAAGTCTTTTTTTTCTACCATGAAACTGTCTTGATTTTATATTCAACAAATCTTTATTTCTGCATCCACTACGCCCTGAAAACTTCACTTGGTATCAATCTCAATATTTTTTAAAACTGAGTACGTCAAGCCGTTGAACTCAATGGAGATTGAATCTCTACAGCAATGTCTAAAACTGTGCACAGCTGAAACAAACTAAAGTTAAACACTATCAAGCTGCTAGCCTTCAATTGCATTAATTTTCAAACTCTACCCTAATATTTCGGCTTAGTACCTCTTGGCGCAGTTGTTAAACTTTGTACAGCCTCTGAGGGAGCAAATTTCTGCTAGTGTAGCATCTTCATATGGACTCTGTTAGTCGAAAAAAATTATTGTTGACGGTATTCTTCATATCTTCATTAAGGTTAAAAAAAATTGCACTTTATGTTCAACATCTTGCTATTTGAATATACTTGGTCCTTCACCTTGTACCTGCACGTATTAACACTACATCAAAATAACATATAAGTACTTGCAATGTCCAAATTATCCATTTCTCCAGCAAGAACACATTTAACTTACCAAGAATTAGCCACATATTTACTATCTTTTAAAGCAACATGTTCATATCATTCAAGGAAGTAATTTTCTTACATAGAGAATCATATAAATGAAGTCAAGACATTCTGAATAATGACATAGCAGCTCAAACAGAGAAAAGGATTTCTTTTATAGCACTGCTCAAATACTACACTTCCTAATTACTAATTTAGTAATTTATGATAAATGAGTTATATAACTTATTCACAGACTTTAATATCACTCAAGTCATGACAAATAACAGTATTCTACACTTTAATGATATTATTTTGGGGGAAAAAGGTACAGTTGCTCAGCCTAATTTAACTACATACTCATATGTTTGCTCCTAATATTCCCCAAGAAGTCAAAAGAGTCAAACAAGATGAAGTATAACAATAGCTAATCCTAAAATGTAGCAACTGATATCGAAAAATATATTAGCAACCAAGATCATGATTTCATTAGCAGCTAAGAAATATAACTAGAGATACACCAAATATATACATACATGATCCAAGGAAAGAATGGTGAAACTAAGAATTTCTACATAACTTAGCACCAACGAGATTTCCTTCACAAGAATATTATACATTTCTATGGATAGAAGATTATAAAAATCCTGGGATAATGCAAATGTTAAATCTAAGATGAGAAAATAGGTACAAGTTAACTCAAAGGGAATATCGTGGCCAAACACAAAGAATATTTTAATCAACTGATCAAACATAACCCTCACAATTAGAACAAAATATAATATAGTATATTATTTTTACGAAGAAAAATCAAAAGAAATCATAACTCAGTAAGGGACACTCTAACTCTGCTGTCTACTAACCTACTTAGAGAAATAAACAATTAAATGAACATGATAAATTTTAGATATTGTGCTACATCTTTTTATAGCCCCTGGAAAGTAATCTCATTCTTGGTACAAGTTTTGAAGTTTAAAATTCCTAATTTAATTACTAACACCCTTATTTCACTACATAAATTATATATAATATTCTTTTATCTTGTCGCTTTACTAGTACCCATCACATTTAACACCGTAAAAGGAAACAAATATCCTCCAGAGACCCTTCCAAAATTATTATATCATAAACTGATATTGACATTTAAAATTCAAATTCATCAAACAGCATCCTTATCATTACATTTGGATTCACTAAGATGTTAGATGTGATAATATGTAACAACTCATATGGAATTTATACGTTGACAGTAAAGAACGAAAAAGAATAAAACAAGAAAATAAACAAAAAAATTAAAATTTAACAATCAAAAAATAAAACTTTGTAATCACACTATAACGTCATAAAAAATATCTTGGAATGAAATCATTACCTCGTTGTCAATAATAAGAAAACATTTTCTTCACTGGACAATGTTTATTGAGGAATCCTAAAATATTTCTGGAGTTTAAGCCCTAGCTAGACCTGTTGTAACTTTTGGAGAAGAATCGAACCAGGCATTAAAAAATAACCAGATAAATCATTATAGAATGTATATAAAAGAATAATTTTTGACATACCCAAAATCAGCCCACAAGCTTGTACCAGATTTAGGAACAACGCAATATTCGACAACAGTTACACAGTAGGAAGAACATCCATACTCAGTCCAACGGCTACCCATGTCTCTCCAACAATAGAAAAAGAAATCGGAAGAACGAAATATTTAGAGATGATTTTGGTGATCTTACGGGTTTTGAGAGACGGGTCTAGGATTTTTAAGGTTTTAAGAAGGAGAGACGGAGTTTTGATAGAGCTGACTTCTAGCAACAGAGTTGTTATCTTTTTAATTTCATAGTTTTCATTTTTGTTTATTTCATATTTTTAAGGCAAAAATAGTGACGCTCAATAACAGTATTAAGGACCAGAATTCAACTATTTTAGTGGTCGGATTTGGTCCCTTTCGCTAATTAAAAGGCAAATAGAGAACTAGGGACCAGGAATAAATATCGTTCATATATGTAGACTTTTAGGGACGAGATTTATCTCTCGTCACTATATTTCAAGATTAATCAAGAAGTGGTCATGATTCTGCACTTCATCATATAAATAGAAAGGAATGAACAGGCGTATTAGACATGCAGGGTCAATCATATTGACAAAAGGGAACAAACTAGATGAACATAAACATACAGAAGTGACATGAATAGGCAAAGGACTATTCAAAGCATGGTAATCAACAAGGTCAAGCAGTCATGGCTCACACGTAGAACCAAAGTGAAGAAACTAGTCTAACAGGTAAGAAAAGTCAGAAACAAGTAAAGAACTCACAGTAATAAGTGAGGAAAAACTTTTAAGAAATTATGGTTTTAACAATAGTCGAATTAAAAATGGTAAGAACTCTGCATCAGTCAACAAAGAAGAGGATCCAAATACAAAGAAATTAATTGAAACAAGTATACATACAAAACAAACAAATACAGTTTTAGAACTCGGATAAAACCAGAAACACCTAGGGTTTTAACACGATGAAATATATAGAAGAAAAACATAAGCAAATCATTTAAACATAGTAAAACAATACTGAAAATCGGAGAATAGATCTTTAAAAAGAGTTTAAGAAACCCTAATTTTTGAAGATGGAGGGTCGCTTTGAAAAATCGGAAAAGCTTTAAGGATAACACTTAATAGGTTCATAACATACACAAATCTAAGATAGATCTGAAAGAAAATCAAAAGATCTTAAAAGTTAGGGCTTCAGAGAACCCAGAAAAGTAAGAAAAACTTTGAAAAGTTACCGATCTACTCGGAAAAGCCATGGATCTGACTCGATCGGCCATGGATAGCCGGAAAAAGACCATAGATAGAAGTTGAGCCAAGACCGGACTAGATCCTTTTGATATCAGTCCATGAAATCATAAAAACAAACAACCAGGAGCCATATGAGACCGGTACACATCTCAAAGAATCATGGGAGTCCATGGATTGGGTAGGGATTAGGGTGGATTTGGGTGGTGGCGGCTTGGGTTTAGGTAAGGTTGCAGAGAGTTTTGGGAGGAAGAGGATTCAAAGGCGGCGGGTTGGTGGAAATGATTTAGGGTAAGGGGTCGTTTGGGTTTATTTTACGTAGGTGAAACGGTGGTCGTTGATCTGAATGATCAACAGGCTAGATTAAAAGGGGTAGGTGGGGATCCAGGTTTGGGTTGGTTTTAAAAGGGTAAGGGTCAGGTTAAAATTAATAAAATTGGGCTGGGGAATTGGGTTTGATTTGGGGTTAGATTTGAAGGCCAATTTGGGCTAAAATTTAAATAGCCACTTCTTCCCCTTTTTAATTTATAAAAATAGTAAATAGCTTCTGAAAATAAATTAAAAATACTTAAATGATTTACAACACATAAATAACAATTTAAAAATACAGACTCAATTTTATGAATATAAGACATAATTAAACCGTAAAATGGCTAATATTACAATTATGTGCAATTTAGTTTTAAAAATACAAAATGAAATTGTAAAAATATGTAAAAAATTAAATAGCCATATTTCGGCATAAATATAAAAATCAAATAGATTAATTATCAAGATAAAAAATTTGGAAATAATTATTGAGATTTTATGTATAAAAAGGGGGAAAATAAATCAATTTAAACCTTTAAAAATTATGAAAAAATAATAAAACATTTGGACATGCTTATATATGCTATTGTGAAGGTATTTTTTCATATTAAAATATAGGGAAAAAATTGGGTATCAACAGCTGCCCATCAACAGATGAAAGAGTTCTCGGGTAAGGATATGATGGCCAATTTTGACCGAGCGAAACGGTTTGAAGAAGATTTAGGCCGCACCCTGGCTTCTGAGATGCCTACGTATCCCTGATTTTACAGAAATCAGGTCATATGTAGTTTAGGATTCGTTGGCGGAGTATGCCAATGGAGACTTTTAAGAACGGACGCAATATCTAGAGCCGGGTGAGTGATAAGTTTACGGGAATGATTATGGTTTGATATGGCTTGAGGGAACTGGGGCGAAACCGCTCTTGCCGGTTGGTCGTTGCTTGCCGTCTTACCTGCAAATAAGTAATACAAGCATATATTGTACATAAATTTAAACATGATGCAAATTCCCATTGGACCATGAATGTTGTCTTTGGACGATGAGGATGACGTCCTTAGACCATGATGTCCTGGGCCATGAAGCGTATGATAAGGGATTCACAGGCCATGAAATGATGTTCTTGGGCTATGAAGAAGGTGCCTCAGAACCATGATTCCTTTGAATAATGCCATGCAAATGATTGAAAGAGATCCTTGGGCCATGACATGGTGTTCTCGGGCTATGAAGATGGTGCTTCCGAATGATGACGCCTTCGGATGAGTTGGCGATATTTCAGCCCATGAAAGATGCAATATTGTGATGTGGACAAGACAGAGCTTAGTCTTGTGAATTGAAGGATAGAGCATAGCTTGTAAGAAAAGCGAAATAAATAGTCCTTGAGATGGCACTTAGTATTGAAACAAATTGGCGGCAGAGCTTAGCCTCGGAAAGCAGAATAATAGCCTTATGAAAAGATGCGAATGCAGATAGAGGTAGAGCTTAACCTCGAAAGGCAGAATGGTGGCCTTATGCAATGTGAATGTAGATGGAGATAGCGTATAGTCTCGGAAGGCAGAATGGTAGCCTTATGCAAGAATGCAGATGTAGGTGGAGACAGCGTTTAGTCTCGGAAGGCAGAATGGTAGCCTTATGCAAGCTGGAAGGCAGAATAGTAGCCTTATGCAATGTAAATGCAGATGGAGACAGCGTTTAGTCTCGGAAGGGAAAATAGTAGCCTTATGCAAGCTGGAAGGCAGAATAGTAGCCTTTTGCAATGCAAATGCAGATGGAGACAGCATTTAGTCTCGGAAGGCAGAATAGTAGCCTTATGCAAGAAATAAAATAACCAATGGCAGTAGAGTTTTCTTAGCTGATAGCAGATTATGGCATTATGATTACTGGGAGCATTGTGACTACGGAGCATTACTTGTGTGTGCTGATAGCAAATGTTGGCAAGTGCAACGGTTTGGAGAGTCATATTCTTGAACAATGTTCGTTCTATGGGCATAAGGTATGTTTAATGATTTCGCGATCCTAGTGCCTGCATCCAAAGAAAAATCATGAGTTTTGTAAGGAGAAGGTTAGTTCATATCCTCGCTGGCTTTGCTTGATTCGTTCGGCTTTGCTCTGGTGATACCGTCTGTATTATTTGGGTAGCATTGCTAAACAAAGCAGTTTCAATAAAAAAAACATGCATGATTTTGTAAAAGTATGACATAAATGTATAATTGAAAATAGCTTTTAGATAAACTGATGACTGTGATGTGGTTCGGAACATTGCAACCTCTCTTGCTATGGAATTTTGAGGGTTCTCCTCAAAGTTTTGCTCCAATTTGATGAGTTGACATTTCTGATTGTTGCTCGTGCGATGATCGGCTGAAGTTACTTTGGATTTTTGAGGGTCCTCCTCAAAATTCTACCCTAGTTTCCAATTGCAGGGGAAATGAAATTTTTTTATTGATTTGTAAGTGAACCCATAGGGCTGCCTACGTATCCCCTCTTAAACGGGAATTAGGTCAGGCGTAGTTCAATTACATCATATAAGGGAAGCATAAAGATTACACATAGTAACGCTTGATTGCATCTAAATTGATCGGCTTTGGCCAGACTTCTCCGTCCATTTCTGCAAGTATGAGGGCTCCTCTTGTTAGAACCCGTTGAACCATGTATGGACCCTTCCAGTTGAGATAGATTTTCCCTTTAGCTTCATCTTGATGCGGAAAAATTTTCTTTAACACCAGTTGCCCCGGTGTGTATTGTCTTGGCTTGACTTTCTTGTTGAAGGCTCTGGACATTCTGTTCTGATAGAGTTGACCATGACAAACTGCATTCATTCTCTTTCCGTCTATAAGGGCTAGTTGTTCATAACGGATTTTTACCCACTCTGCGTCGTCAAGCTCAGTTTATTGTATGATCCTTAGGGAAAGAATTTCTACCTCAGCGGGAATGACAGCCTCTGTACCGTAAACCAGAATATAGGGGGTTTCTCCGATTGGTGTGCGGACTGCGGTGCAATACCCTAATAGAGCAAATGATAATTTCTCATGCCACTACTTATGCTTTTCTATCATTTTCCTCAATATCTTCTTGATATTCTTGTTGGAGGCTTCTACGGCTCCATTCATCTGAGGCATGTAGGTTGTGGAAGTCTTGTGTCTGATCTTGAAAATCTCACACATAGCTTTCATCAAGTCACTGTTGAGGTTGGAGCCTTTATCAGTAATGATTAACTCTGGAATCATGAATCGACAAACAATGTGGTCGCGGACAAAGTCTGCCACGACTTTCTTAGTTACTGCTCTGTAACTTCTTCAACCCATTTGGTAAAATAGTCTATGGCTACTAAGATAAACCTATGTCTGTTGGAAGCGGCAGGCTAGATTGGTTCACTAACGTCCATTCCCCAAGCAGCGAACGGCCATGGTGAGCTTGTTGTGTTAAGCTCGTTTGGATGTACCTTTATCATGTCTACATGTATCTGATAGCGGTGGCATTTTTGGACATACTGGATGCAGTCCGTTTCCCTAGTCATCCAAAAGTAAACAGCCTTGAGTATCTTCTTTGCTAAGACAAAACCGTTCATATGTGGTCCGCAGGTCCCAACATGAATTTCCTCTAGTAGCCTAGATGCTTCCTTCGCATCAACACATCTTAATAGTCCCAAATCGGGAGTCCTCCTATACAGGATTCCTCCGTTGTGAAAGAAGTTGTTGGACAATCTCCGAAGTGCGCGTTTCTGGGTAGGATTTTCAAGCTCTGGGTACTCTCCTTTTGCCAAATATTCCTTGATATCATGAAACCAAGGCTTTTCGTCTGCTTCTTCGTCAACATGGGCATAGTAAGCTGGCTGATCATGTATCTTTACTGGAATGGGATCAATGAAATTCTTGTCTGGATGCTGTATCATAGATGACAAGGTAGCCAATGCATCGACAAACACATTCTGGACCCTAGGAACATGCTGGAATTCCGTCTTCGTGAACCTCTTTCTCAATTCCTGTACATGATGCAGATACAGGAGTATCTTGGAGTTCTTGGTTACACTTTCTTCTAGAACCTGATGTATAAGTAGGTCTGAATCTCCAATTACTAGCAACTCTTGAACGTTCATGTCAATGGCCATTTTGAGTCCTAAGATGCAGGCTTCATACTCGGCCATATTGTTGGTGCACGGGAACCTGAGTTTGGCAGACACCGGATAATGCTGACCGGTTTTTGATACTAAGACTGCTTCTATGCCAACTCCTTTGAA